TTAACTCTCCAAAGAGGAAGGGATGGCAAAGACCTGCATGGTCATCTCAGCCTTGCTCTCCTGCTCCAGCCAGGACAGGCTTGTTTTCTATTGGTCTGTGCTCTAGTGCTTCTTCTAATAGAGCTTTGAATGTTATTTTGAGTTAATAATGGTAATAATGTGGTTGGCAGATACAGGAAAGCAGTCATGGGGCTGAGGATGCTTCTGATGATGTGCTGTACCCTGCACTTGGCCTTGTTGCTCTCTGGCTCTGATCTGCCCATAAGGCTCCTCCTCATGGACATAACTTGGGGTCAGTCAGGTCTATTCACATGCTTGGTGTCAAATACGTTGATGATTTGGAGACCTTTGATCCCATTGTGAGAAGAAGAGGAGGCTCACCCAGGCAAGGCTGTCCTCAGGGGACCACAGCTGGGTGGAAGATGGGGCTGTTGGCATATCCCAAATGATGTCAGCTGTGGCGAAAGCAGCGATGATCTGTGTGCAGCCTGTGGCATCAATCTTTGCAGTTCTTTAGCTTTCAGTCAAGGTAGCAGCAGCAAACAAAGAATAAACCCCATTTCAATGAACTATAGCTACATAGCAGAAAGCTCTGTTTTTAACCATGGCAGAAATCCTAATCTCTTTGGATAAAGCCCCAAAGCTCCAAGCAAATGTGGAGTGTGGGGAGGAGGTAATGCATTACCTCCCTGGGGAAGAACAGACTGAAACTCAGGCAAGGCATCGAGTTCCTTGTAAGTTATGAGGCTGTTCATCTGGGGATGGCAATAAGTTGTATTATGGCCTTGCTTGCTCTGCCTTTTTTTTTCACAACACCATCTTTCATTTTAATAGTGGTTTTTCAGCTAGCTTTGTTAGGGCTGCTGCTAATTGGGCTGGATTCATGTGTCCCACCAGGGCACAGGACAAGCCTGGCAATGCTTAAAAGAGAAGGGCGAATTTTACTGCCTGGTGCTTTGAGTAGACAGAGCCCAGGCTTTGGGGAGCAGGAGGAAGGGGCATGGCAGCGGTGAGAGAGGAATTTAGGAACAAATTTAACTCTCTGGCTGCCATGGAAGCTGAGAGATACTCTCCCTGTGACAGTGATGGGACTGAGAGTGGCTCCACATGAGTCAAACAGCCCCCAGTGGGATGAAAGCCCCTTTTGTGATTGACTTTTCTGACCTGGAAAGATGTGGGGCCATCTCTTTTGCTGAGAAATTAGGTTTAAAAGTTCTTCAGTGCTGAAAATGTCAGATTCAGACCTTCACGAAGTGGTTTTCATGGGGCATCACAGGGAATCAGCACTCGTGGCTGGGACAATTTCATCAGAGCTTTGGAAGCAGCAAAGTTTGCGCCCTCAGAACCTAGAGCTAGATTTTACTGAGAATCTGTAACGTGCTGAGTGGGGAGCTGGCTGTATCCTTCACATTATATTGCCTCTGTAAATAAGTGCAAGGACCAGGACAGCTGTGATACATGTGAGATTTGGCTGCAAAGCAACACTTGTGGCTTGCGGAACACACTTCTACCTGCTGCAGGGCTCACCAGGTCTCAGCACAGGGGCCCTGGTAAGTTAGAGAGCTCCAGGGTTTCTGCTTGTGTTCACAGAGCCCCTGGGAGACTTTCACAAAAACCTCTCCCAACCCATCCCACAGCATCTGTCCTCACATCCTTCACCTCTGTCCTCACTGCCCTACAGCCCTCGCTGGAGCCCTGGGTGCCACAGTCCTGCCAAGATGGCTGTTCCAAGGTGACCAGAGTTTCTAGCTCTCAGTCACACCACTAAGATGGACAAACTACACTGATGAGATGGAGCATCCGCTTGGGATGTCTCCAAAAATACAGCTCTGAAAAGTGGGGCTGTTTAGTCAGAAGTGCCATCACCTCATTGTCGCTTCAGTCAGTGTGGCAACATGTGCCCCCATCCCACTGTGGGCCACCTCTTCGCCCAGAGGACAGAAGAGCACGGTGCAGGAGATCTAGGATCCTTCTCCACATCCACACAGATGAACCAGGTGGTAAAACCAGGCCACTTCTTGGCAAAGGTCTTTCCCCATCAGCCACTGTTGTAGTAAGACCAGAAATGTCGGGAAACTGCCCAGAAAGGAAGCCTGCCCACACCAAACAGGTTACATTTGCAGCTGAGAAACACAGCAAGGAGCTTACTAGTTGTTAAATGGACTGAATTGCAGCACTGCCTTTATTTTAAAGGGCAATTAGCAGTGTGGAAGGATTTTCTCTGCCTCTTCAAAACGTTTGTTAGTTAAAAGCTCAGTTTATGGTTAACATTACATAATAACATATGTCACAGCTCTGCAATTGAGCTGCTCTGCGGCATCAAGAAAACTGTGCCAGAGCAGAAGTCTCGAGAGATGCAAATGGGGGGGAAATAGTGCTGTGAAATTAAATGGTACCCACCAAAACGTAGTGGGGACGTTTTCAGTGAAAGACTGAAATCCTGGGTGATGTAGTTATTTGAAGTTTTCCCTTCTTGTGCACTTGAGAAGTGGGACTGTTTGATTTGAGTATGGATTTTGCAGATTCTTTTCAGTGAGGGCTGTGCCCAAGGCCAGTGAGGAGCAATGTCAGACAGTTCAGGACAGATAAACCAGGCTGGCCCATGAACCACTCTAAACCTGCTTTAGGGCAGGGAACATTCAGAGTTTCCATCAGGCAAGTGGAACAGCCTGGATGTGTGTGGGGCAATGAATGTGCTGGTGTAGCCTGCTGCTTGGACTGGCCCGGGGCTGGAGCATGGCTTTAACTTCAACACCAAGCACTGCAGTGGCAATCTCTTACTGCCACTTAGCTAAAGCAGAGATGATGAAAATGTCACCACTGTGACCACCCTAGTGATGGCTCCAGGCCATGATCTCAACTGTTGCCATGTCCACTGCTGACAGTGAGTGGGAAATACTCTTTCTTGGGGAAGAAAGTTTTCTATCAGTAGTTGCAGAGTGCTGGGTCCCTGCTCTTTGTTGAGCCAGGCTGTCACAAGAGAGATCAGAAATCATTTATTTTTAACGCTATGAATATGTAGAAACTTGTCTGAGCTTCTGCACGCTGTGGCCATGAATTTAGAAACGGCATCAGGAATCATGGCATTCGGCATCCTGTGAATCGGGTCAGAGCTATAAATTTCTCTTATTGGTGCACAAGCCATTTGCCATACGTGACTTTCTGAATTTGTGGTCATTTCTCTCTCTACCCCTGTGTGCCGAGTGTATGACTGAGATTTTATATTGCACCTCTGAGACAGAAAGTCCTTCTGGTGCTTTTGCCTCGCATCCTAAACAGGCTCACTCGCTCTCCTGCCTGTCCCCTTGGCTAATGGCTTCTGGCCACAGCCTGGCCCTTAAATCACGGGCTGCACCCAGACAGGCATAAACTGTGACTCTCCCCAGACAAGGAGGATTTGATTAGAGTGGTGAGGAATGTGACTCTGAAAACAGGCACTCAGCCTTGTGAGAACAGCTGCTCCTACACTGGGCCCAAGATGGGTCCTCTGGCACAGGCACCGAAGGCAAGTCCTACAGAGACCTCAGACATGTTCACTGAGCCTCTCCAAGGACAGTCATTTGTAATACAAGGGGAGGAATGTTCAGTGTGGATATCGTGGGGGTATGTTAAGATGATCTGTGTGTTGGGAGGAAAGCTTAAGCTAAGGAAGCTCACACTGTGGGGACTGGAAGATGGTGCTGCCATCCACCTCCTCCACTTTACTGCCTGTGCTTTTCCTCCCCCACCTCTATCTGTTCTAGACATAAAAGCTTTTTTTATTGCAAGATTATTTTTGCTGAGTGAATTAAAATGAAGCATTTGCAACCTCTCCTCCCCAGTGCAAGTGCTCCCGGCAGCACTGCTCTCCACCTGGTCCTGGCCCCTCTGGTCAGCCTAGGAAAGATAAGCCCAGCAGCAGGACAAGATCAGGCTATTGCCAAACCCAGCTCTGCTGAGGAATGGGTTCCCCTATTCCACAGATCTGCCCCCTGTGAGCCTGGTGAATCACCAAAGGCAGCAGATGCAACTAAGATGTTTCCTAACTAATTTTTAATCCTTTTGGCACAGCGGTACCAACACAAAAACATGAACTGTATCAAGGCTGTTTATTAAATTCTGGTCTGGCTGCAGTTGTGCAACCCCACTGAAACACTTTGGTGCAGTAACATGAAATAAGAACAGTGGATTTCCTCACGTGTCACTGAGAACTGTATCTTGCCAGCAGGTTGCTCTTGAGGCTGATACATAGGTGTTATCAGGGTCTGAGCCCAATTATGAGGGTAGAGCAGGACATGGGAAATTGCACATTTCTGGGTCAAAGAGCTGATATGGCCCCTTCTACTAACTCAGAGCCACTTTTCAAAGCCAAGGTCTCCAGCAAACTACATGTACAACTCTGTTTCCATCAGGATAAGGTTTCTGTGCTTGTTAAAGGCTGAACCTTTGAGCCTTTTCAACTTAATCCTCTTCCAAGAGTATTAGGTTTTTGGGGAGATTTTTGAAATGGCAAGGCTTCCCGAATTTCTGATCTATTGGTGCATATCTAGAGCACTTACCATCATCCATCAAGGCCCTGCCAACATGCAATCTGAATAAAAGCAGAGAGGAAGCACCTTTGCCATCACGATTTTTCAACTATAAATTGCTGGAAGTTGATCTTTGTGAAAACAGCACTAGCTTCGTGTATTCAGTAGGGAACAGACATTGGACAAAGGAAATACCAGCCACAGGGCTGGTGGTGCAGGGCTATAAATGTGGAAACAGGTTGATAATAGAAACTGGTTTGTAGGTACTAGCAGACATGAGCAAAGAGAAGTTTTGAAAGCAAATATTTAACAGGAACTGTCCCTGAAGAAACCCTCTGAAACTGAGACTAAAGCAAATGTTACTCTCAGTTGCCACTTCAAATAGAAACCAGAGGAGGTGAGAGCATCCCCGAAGATGCCACCAGCTCTCTTCCCCGTTTTTTGACAAGTGTCCACGCACAGCTTCAGTGCTAACCCACCTTCTTGCCTATATTTCAAGTTCCAAACTTTTTAATCAGAGTGGCCCAGCCTTCAAAAACAAATCCAAGGACTGTTTTACTTTGAAGAAAGGATAGTCTTGCCCAGCAACCACTTACAATGAAATGAAAAAAAATTACTACATTTTTATTGTTATGGTAAAGAGTAGAACAGAGACAGAAAGTCATAGCTGCTTTACTTTGTTCCTTAGAGACGGGGAACAGTGTACATCTGGCTTTAAATAAATAACAACAGTAACTTCCCAATGGCCTTTTGTCTCCCAGCCTCAAGAGTTTCTGAACTAGCTGAAGGCCTCTTTCTTGTTAAGAGCTTCTGTCTCACTCCAACCTAGAGGTTTGTGACAAAACTGAGGTTATTTTGTGGAAGGGAGGAAGTAGATGCATTAGTGAGTGCACTGTCTCTTGGCTGAGGTTTAGGTTTATTTGAATTTATTATTTCTGATGTGATCAACTGATCACTTACTGACCATTTTACTTTAAATGTGGTCAAGGACTGCAGTCTACAGTCAGTCAGTCTATCTGCTCCCACTCTTGGTCCCCCTCTGCTATGTAGCAATGTCCCAGCACTCCCTCCTATTGTCTGTCTTCAAACCACATGTTTTTCACAGCTCAGAGCTGCAGAACACTGTAAAGATCCCCTCAACACAGCATGGTGGGAGTGTAGCTGTGTACACTGTTTTGCTCATAACACTGAGCAGTTCTCTGACTAAACACACCTTTCTCTTCCCAGCCATCACTAAGCAGTTATTCTTCTTTCATCATAACTTCAACCTGCCACTTAGCCATTAACTGCGTCTATCTGTACCTAAGAATTATTTGAAACGAAACATTCAATTATTACAGAGCTTTAACACCAGAACAAGGCTGCTGTTTGACTTCTTTGTTTCAGAAATGATAAAACACTCCAGCGTTAAACCCCTGTTCTCTCCAACAGCAGCCGAGCCACTAAATTGATGACATGCGGATTAACCAAACAGTCCAGCAAATCATTGGTAGAAAGGGCTGTTTGTGAGGTGCAAGGACTGCTGTCTGAATCCATTTGATGTGCAGGCATTTCACAGTCATTACTCATTACCAGCTCCTTCCTCCTGCGGTGTAATTTTCCAATATGTTCTCCTTCATTTTCACAGGGAAGATCTCTACCGTCGCTTTCAACTGCAACTGCACCCATCGAGCCCATTTCTTGAGCCTGTGGTAAAACTTGAATCAGATGAGGCCCAAAAGGTATTTTCTGCAGCTCTTCTGCTTTAGATGTTGAAAAGTCAAATCCATGGGTTAGTAATCTGCAGCCATCTGGCTCACAGCCAACTTCCCTCCTCTTCCTCTTGCATGAGGCACCTGTCCTTTGCTCTGCACCAGTGCTGCTGGAATGTGCCTGCTCTGACACACTTGTCTTCTGACACTTGATATATGCAGACACTGCTTGATTCAGATACTGAAGATTCATTTCATGGGATGTTGCCTCAACCTAAGAAAACACCCAGGATACACTCAGTTAAAAGGAGCCATGTTTCAATTCAGCGCTGCGTGATTATTTTCCATGAATTACTTTTGCTACATGAAGGGATGGAATTTAAAATTCTTTTTCTCAGGCAGCAGAAGGACTCAGGGGAGCTAAGCAAAATGTCAGTAGTTCTTTGTTATTGCTCCTATAATGGGAGCAATAGAGGGCTTACCTCCGTGGGATTTAGCCAGAGATCTCCATCACTGGGATTTTCTGCTGATTTTATGGCACATACCAGCATTCGAGTTATTGCCTCTTCTACACGGGCTTCATGATCTGCATCCTGCCTCAAGAAAACAGAAAGTTTTAGGAGATAGGTTAGCTCTTGGGCCTGTGCAGAAAGCTGAAAGGACTTGGGAAGAACATGAATGGCCTTAGTTTGAAAGCCTTACTCATGTATGCAAAGTCAATGAAAGTTTTCAGACTTTTGACGCTCCTACTCCTGTGTACAGCCCCGACACAGGTCACAGCACAGGCTCATCTGAACTATGATTTGCAAAAAACAGATTCTAGTATGTGTGTATAATCTTTTCCCTCATTAGTGTTCTGTTAATTGAATCTGGTGTTTGAAATTACAATACAGTGTTAGCATTTAATTAATGCATGCATTTATAGAGCTCTTTAGGACTAGAATGGCCATGGAAGTACATAGCACATTTTTTGTATCTACATATTATGTCTAATTTAAGTACTTAAAACACACAGGATGTTCCAGGAAGGCAGCAGCTATCTATGGGCTACAGAGGCAAAAAAGTGAGTCTTAAGAAAATGTAGGAAATATTTTATCATGTAACAGCAGTTGACATACTTCTGCACTTCTGAACATCAGCAAAAGGAAAAACATTTTTCCTCTGAAAGCTCTCCTGCAAAACTAAAACTAAGTTAATAGCAGGCTGTTTCTTTCAGGCCTTCACTTTATCATCCCCCTTATGGCAGCTGGATACTAGCTGATTTAGGATAGCAGAATAAAACTTTATAAGATCTTTTTAAGCTTTCTTTCCCATTTGAGTTTCTTGTATATGGAAGGGTAGGGTGTGTGGAAGGAAATGGCAGACTCTGCAAACAAGATGGTTGGTCTGGTTAATTCAATGACAAGTGCCTAGATGTGGATACATAAATTTGCTTTAATCGAGATGCTTAGACATAGGAGTTTTGGACCTGGTCAATCCACAGCCCTGATCAGTCTGTGGTTTCAGGGCACACATCAAGCACATGCATCTTGCCAGTACGAGTGCTGAAGGCAGTAATTCAGCCTGGAACCCTGAGCTGATTTTGGGATAGAAGCAGGGGAAAGTGTTGTTGGCATTTTGTGGCTTTAGATGCTTGGCTTATCAATGACCTTATATAACAAGCCCCCAAAACACAGACTTTGGTATCTACATGTGGAAATTATTTAAGGTGTTGCATTCCTGGTATTCATCCTGGCCTGCTGAATAACAGGGCTGTACTGATTGCATGACAGTATGTTAGGAAGCAAGGAATACTCTGAGTAGCTCACATCCAGCTGAAAACAAATTAAATTTCTACTCTAAACTCTTGCCAATATAATTAATGGTTTCACTGGGACTATAATTGTTGGCGTGATTCACAGCTGTCAATATGAAAGCAGCTGGTAACAGCTGCGAGCAAGAACTGCTTACTTTGGTAATGGAAATGTTCTCAGTACTGTCTTTTAGCATCCATGTCACACTTTACTTTTACAGATGGACTGCCCAACACCTAACAAACAGTGCTGCCATCATCAGCTGTACAGATAATTTCTGTAAGAAACTTTCACCTGGGCTGAAATAGCTACATTTGCTTATGGCAGCTTCTGATATCTGGGGAGGGGGAGCTTGTGTGTTGGTCATTAGTAAGATCCAGCAAACGCTCCTTTGTTTCTGATGCCACCCACACAACTACCCACTCTTGCTGTCACCAAACAGGATCTTGGTGACTTCTGCAAGACCTTTATGACCAGAAAGGAGTTTAACTCCACTGATTTTTTTTTTCCTTGCAACACATAAGAACAGCTAGAAATGCTACAGCTAAGGCACCACCCCAGCACCTGGGAGCTCCCAGCCGAGCACAGCTGATCCATCCTGACCTGCTTCTCCAGCAGGGACAATTTGTGAGGCACAGCTCAGGGTACAAGAGTGTGTATTGACATCAGGGTCTTTCCAAGCCCAGGGCACACAGCCAGTTCCTCTGTATTACCTCAAGGGCTGCTCAAATTTAAGGCAGGCTTAAATGGCTGCTCTGCAATATATAGTTGGTGCTTTCTCTGGCACTGGACACAACCTGACTGTACTTAGGGCTACGAAAGACCTCATACGAAAGTATGGGCTGTGGGCCTGCTGTCCTTGCTAAATACATAGTTTCATCTGGAAAATTTCTCCATGAGAGAAACACCCAAGTGAGTTCCTCTGCTCTGCCAATGCTTGGTTTGATGCTGGTATGAGAAATGTATCATGTGGTCTTTGAACAGCAGCTGAATGTATGTGTTCCTTTTCCCTGCAGATTCCCAGTCTAATATAACTTTTTAAAGTAGAAAAAAAGGTAATGAGTATTTTAGTGAGGCAGCTTTCCCAGGCCATTTCAAAAGATTTTTTTTTTTTGGTAATATTAAGCCAGGATTAATAATAAAGTCATTTGAATCAGAAAACCTTCTGGAGCATTGAGATGATCTAGTGGAAGATGTCCCTGCTCATTGCAGGGGGGCTGGACTAGATGACCTTTAAAGGTCCCTTCCAACCCAAACAATTCTACAGTTCTATGATATCCTTGGAACCATCACATACATACTGGTTAAGATAAGCAAGAAAAATCAGAGCCTGAGGAAAAGAAAATTAATTAAATACTTGAGGAAATCCAACTTCAGGCAATTCAAAACTATCACAGAGAAATGAAAATTCCAAAATCCTCTTCCACCCCCTTCCTATCACATTAATTTGATTTAAATTCTAATTTAGCTTTGCATGTAAGCATGTGCTTGAGGTGAAGTTGCTGTGGAAATATGATTTCTGCTGAGCTGAGTCTTCAGATCTGGAACCCTGAAAGGTTCTTCAGGAAAAAAATGTATCCATAAGGGTTCTTCCCTCCACAGCCTCTGAACACAACACACCCAATAGGGCTGAACTTGGCAGGCAAGGGACAGAAGGCCATGCACACATGGAAGTGCTACATCACCATGACATAAAAAGGAAAATACCAGTTCAATCCAAGAGTTTATGCTGACGGTGACAGGATCAATGGATTCCACATAGTGCCACCAGTGCCTTGGAACGAGCAGGACCTGGAATTGGAGACATCACATTAGGGTACTAAGGGAAGGCTGAAGAAAGATAAGGTGTTTTAATTATAGGTCATGTGGGATGCAGAGACAGAATGAGGCAAGAAAATAAGAGTGGGAAGTAATATTTATTTATTTCTTCTAAAGCGCCTTTTCGCAGGACTTAAATGCCCACTCTCTCCTCCCACTGTTTCAATACTGTGGTGTAAGAAATGGACGTGATCCAGAGCTGCCTTTCATCCAAACTCCTTCCCACGTGAGCAGGACTGTAACCTTGTAATTGCTGTAGGTAAGCAAAGTCCAGCCCTACAAAGGGGGTGCAGCTGGAGTAGCAGTAGATCAGGGCTTTAGAGAAAGTCTCAGCCAAGCAGGAATTCTTTTGTAGACTCTCCAACTGAGCAGAATTTCCAGTTCTTTTAGAAGGACTGCCAGCTGGTTTCCCCAAAAAGCAGATATCCTAATGCTCATCTGGGTGACTAACAATATGTAGCTTTAATTCTGGTAAATAATCGCCAGTATTACATTTGTCACTTTTAGTAGATAGGCTTTTAAAAGAAAGTGCCATGATTTCTGGGACAATCTAGTTTAGATCAGAGCTTTATAACTACATCAGGATGATAGCTGTGACATAAAATTGATTCTAACCCATGGTTTCTAAGGTATGAGCCATTGATGCTGTTTTGATGATAGAGGACAAGCTTTACAGATTACTGAACATGAGATTAACATGGCACTATCAAGAAAAGCATAAAAGATATTTTTTGACAAGGAATAAAAATGGTCAGAGACAGACAAAAATATACACTTCAGAATGGGGAAAGCGAAGCAATGATCTGTATCTGAATTGCAGACAATTTTTTTTCTTGGTAGACACAAATTACTTAGAAGCATGTTCTGCTACCCAGATACCCCTGTGCTTCATTGTATCAAAACACGGCTAATGAGAAAATGTCTGTATAGGAAACAGTGATTGTGACTCCAGTCCTGCACTTACAGGACACTCAGAACAGAGTCATTTTTGGGCCAGATGACAAAATGTTCTCCACAGGCTTCAATTTAAGTCAAACAAAAAAGCAGTGGCTCTCTAAAGGTCAAAAACATTTGAAAATTGTACTTTAATCCGGTACAGCATACAAAACAGAGAAGGAAGTCGGTTAGTGGAGGGTCATTATTTTAAAAATATTACTAATTTGTTATTTCTGCCATCTGTATGAAAACTTGACTGCAGCCAAAACATGTTTTCTACATTGAACAGGTTTCAGAGTTGTGCTTTTATCACAGAAACATCCACTCTAAATGAAAAGTGCAGCTGCATTAGCAGCAACGGGTTTATCTGTTAGGAAGTGTTGCCCTACGTTTCACTGACTGCAAAATCACATGAAACCTCCCCCAAACACTCATCTGCTCTATAAGGGATCTTACACTGAACTCTGCTAAAGAATCTGGGTGCCCTCCAAATGACTGGGTGTAATGATGAGGCCTGGAAAACTTTGTTTTACAGCAGAAGAAAGCCCAGCTCCTGCAAGTGGCTGTTTGCAACAACAGGATTCGTCCTACGAGATCTGTGTAGGAAAAGCGAGCTTTGCAACATGCTGGAGAAGTGGATGAAGACACCAGGGAACTGGGGTATGGAACAGAGTGACTATGCAGCAAGGGAAAACAAGCGAGAGACAAATTAAGGGAACTGTAAGAATGTTTCAGTCAGAAAAACAAGATGGAAATTAGGTGCTGGCTCAACACGACTGGCATGCGAATCAGGTACAGAATTTCTTTGGAAAGAGAAGGTACAGCCAGGAGGAAAATACAACTCCCCCAACGTGTCCTGTGTTTTCAAATCTAATAAGAGGAACTTGGTCTTTTAGAGACCGATCAGATTTTACTTGCCAGCAGGTTGAGGGTAATAACTGCGAAGTTGTGCCTTTCTGCAGCTGGCACTGTTTGCTGATGCAATTTATAGAAGAGCTACAGAGCTGTGACTGAAACAGGCAAAAGAGGTTCCATAAAGACACTTGCTCTCCCTCTTATTTTTGGGCAAGCTTATGCATGTTAAAATAAGGATTTATAGCAGGAAGAAAACTGAAATTATCAAAAAGCAAAAGGACTAAAACTTTAAGGAAGATGAAGAAATGGAAAAAAGTGATTAAAACCAAAAAATACATCTGGCAAGCAAGCAGAACTAACAAAAGACCAAAAAACCCCCAACAAAACAAACAAAAAACAGCAAAGAGAGAAGTACAGTAGGATTCTTCTACCTTTACAAACTAGTATTCTTCTAGGTTTGCAAATTAGAAGCAAAAAAACCCCACAACAGAATGAAAACAAAAACCCACCACCACCACTTCTATCAACCCTACAATAAAATAAAGCAGACTTCCATATGTTTATGAATATGGGACAGAGATTTAGCTACATTCCAATAGGAAATGTGAAAGTAAACCACAGTGAAATAACACACACACAAATGCAGTGAATGTTTTACAGGGAAAATGTAAAGAGCAATAGCAAGACAGAACTATTCCAAGCTAAGAGATAATCTTGTGCTAGCCTGCTTTCTACAGAACATATCTAACTTTGCAGGCTGGGAAGATACTGATCTAAACAGCAACCAATCAGATAATTCTAATATTTAGGCTAGTGATAGGCAAATATAGAAAATGAAGTCAAAGTAGGACAGAAATCCCAGAAAAGATAAAAAGAAATTCTGTAATGGGAGGAGAGAAACCAAGGGAATACTTGGGAGAGCAAGTGGAGCAATGCTGAAGAGTTGTACAGCACAGAGAACAGACCAGGTTTGAATTCTCAGTGGACATGATTAACTCGATACAGTGCAAAGGTAGGGCAAAGGTGGAATTGCTTCAAAAAGAGAGCATATCCTGAAGTGAAATATTATACCAAGAAATTTCTGCTCATTAGAAAAAGGTATTTAGGTAAATGCACATGAAAAGGAAGCCAGTGTGATGGGAAGATAAAGATGTAGGGCCATGGGGGGACCCCAAGGAAATCCCAAAGCTGCCTGTAACCATGGCAATGAAAAACAAAATAGGTACAGTCAATTCTGTGGAAGCACCACCTGGGGACTCTGTGCGAGTGCTGCTACCCTAGCCTATGCCCTGTCCCTGCTGGTGCCTGGCTCTCCTAGTCCTAGTAAGGTGCTCCTTACCCTGCCTCCCTCCTTTCTCCTGAGCTGGTGTCTTCCCACACACTGAAACTAAGCTCCAAGGGCCACTGATGTCAGAAACGTTGAGGACAGCCCTTGGGAAAAGCAGTGAAGAGAGAGGGAGTCCATTCCTTGTCCATGGCAACCCTGGCAGGAGACTGAAGCTCAGGGAAGATGGTGAGGAGTTAGGAACTTGCAGGTTTCACCTTTGGATTGCCTGGCTTTTGGGGCACTCAAGGGGTTCTCCCTATGTGTTACAGGCTGAGTGCTGTTTTTATCACCAATCCCAGTGTAAATTCAGCTCCTGGACTCTTCTGCTTCTTCTGTGATGGAGATGATACTTCTTGTGTCTCAGGGTTGGGTTTGGCTGACTGCCTTCTCTATGGGGTGACTTGGGGCCAAATGAAAGTTTGGGAGACTTTCATTTGTAGTCTTCCAAATGAAAATTATTTATTCCTTCCCAAAACAGAATTATCAACCATCTACTATGCATAATGCTGTGGATCCTCCTTCTCTGAATCCTCCTTCACTAAAATAACCTTTTAAAAGTATTTTGTCTACTTGGAGCTGGAATGTTTCACTGCCTTTTAAAAAGTTTGAGTTATTGTATTTCTTGACTTGCTACAACACTTTTTTCTTTGGTATCAATTATATTTTTCTTGGCTATTCAGACTGTACTGCTGTTCCCCACTTTAAGCCCAATCTGAAGTTCTCACTTCTTTTCTTTAAAGCTGGCACACAGGGAAATCCCTTCCTGACTTCATGAATATTTCTGCTTGCTCAGTGTTGGGTTAGAAGTCAGAGGTTTATTTGTGCTGTTGGGAGCTCTGGTTGCCGGGCAGGATCCTGTGGTGTGTTAGATGCCACAGCAGGAGCACAGAAAGAGAAAACCTTGCAGCTATATGCAGGAACTGAGTGACAACTGTATTTATGGACAAAGACTGAGTTCAAGATGTGTTTCTTTAGACTTTCAAGAAAGCAGATAAGCAAAAGCAGAGGAGGGGAGCTTCTTAGCAGCAGAGCACAGTGAGAGACAGCAAGCAGTAACGCTGATCTTTTTCTAAAATCAGTATTTCCCATATTGTGACAATATTTTTCAAGGCTGGAAGGGAGCATCCTTCTCAGACTCAGTGAGACTCTAAGACTAGTTCAGTCAGGCCTTTCCTTGCACTTCTGCACTGCAGCTCCTCTGGCTTTAGGCTGCACCTGGGGCACAGGGCCAGGACACAGGAGAGCTGAGTGCTGCCTCTAAACAGCAAACAGTTTAGGGGCTCCTGTCTGGGGCAGTGTGAGAGGGAATGGTGTTGCTCACGGGAGCCCAGTGTCCAAGCTGCTTGCTCTCCATCAGGAGGGCTCCTTTTATAGCCTGTTCTGAAGGACAAGATGAGATGAATGTTCCTGCAGGAGTGTAATTGTCTAAGATCACCTTGTAGAGGTGCCGGGTTCTTCCCACTGATGGCACATAGGGCACCTGTCCTGAATGGGGTTTAAGTTGAGGATGGCAGATCCTACCCTAACTCTCTTAACACTTGTCCCAGAGCATGGGGTGGAAGGTTCTAGAACAGACATGTTTTGCCCCATTTGTGGTCTTTTAGGCAGCATTTGTATATTTGTGAAAAGAATCAAGGTGTCACCAGAAATGGTGCAGAATTTACTCAACTCCCTACTTTGCACTGAGCCTTGCAACCACCCCACAGGTGACCAGGTTCAAATATTTCTAAGGAGCCCCATCTGTGTGAGACAACTTGAGCTTGTAACTTTGTGGATATGGTCAGGTACTGCTGCAAGCCCTTCACCTACTCAGCTGCCTATTTGAGTAAGCTTGATATCTAACTGTTTTCCTAAGTTGTTTGAGAACAGATCACTAATGTATAACTACAAATTGTGGTAAGACCTCTGTGGAAATGTAGCCCACAGCCACAGGTCAAGTACAGGATGAAACCTTATAAAACCTAAAGTCTCAGACAACTACCAAAATTCATAACAGAGGTTCGCCTCTGAACAATACAGTGGAAGGGCACAAAGGATGCAGCTGAAGTATGCATTGTGCATTGGTACAATGTTATATGAAGGAATTCTGCTTTTAGGCAGAACGGGTGTAGAAAAATGGCTTGTAGCAAAAACCGACCAGAAGGTGGCATTAGACACATTAAGTTTTTGATATTCAAAGCTGCACTCACCCTACATGCAGCTGCTCTCCTGAATACCTAAGAACACCTTTGTCTTTATTTTTTCAACCCTTTATTGTTACAATAATCCAAAATGTTCCGTGTTACCCTCTGAGAATGAGTGGAGATTCTACATATTAGCACAAAATAAGGCAGCCCACAAATTCTGCAGTAATTGTATTACTTCTGTGTGAAAACCACTGTTGAACACATATCAAGACTGTTATTATTTAGGGATTCTCTCTCTTGTTAACAAAGGAGTTCTTCTAGGTCATTCCTTTTCTCTCCATCAAACAGCAGCACTCCCCAGCCACCTGCCCCATAAGCTTCTGGATGAGATGCTGGATGAAGGCAATACCTCACTGCTCCATCATTGCTTCCACATTACTCCCCCCTCCACCCTGAAATCCAAAAAGTATTCCCTTCATGGAAATGCAGACAAATTGTATTACTGAGCTGGCTCAAGAACTTTATTCCTAGCAAGATTAATTTGTAATTGCTTTAAGCCTAATTAAAATTAAGATCATATTAAAGGTTCACTACCACACTTGATCATTGCAAAGGAGATTATAAATTGAAATAGTGTTGGGGACCAGGGATAATGCACTGCTGAATGAATGTGGCATTTTTATCAACAGCAAAAATTTTTTCTTTGTGCTTTAAATTATTGAATGATGCAACCTTATGAAGTGCTGAATGCAAAACTACTCATTTGCTTTAGGAGTATGAGTAGGAGCTAATGTAGTGCAAACAATGAAGGTTGATCACAGATTCCTCATTTGCATCTGTACCAATTGCAGAGCATACACTTCCCAGTTCATAGGTATCATCCTCTTCTTGGAAACTACTATCCTGCTTCAACCTGCCATCTCACCAGTTTATGGGAGCACTCCTCAGTCTGCCTCCTCAAAATTAACTGGATTAGCAAAAATCCATTCCTTAAATTGTTGAAGGCAGCTGGGTTTGCCAGCTAGGGACAGGGGAACACACACACAAGTTGCTGAGCTGGCAGGTCAGAAGAAGTGACAGCATCTGGTAGGAGAATGGTGAGAGGGCTCTGGAAGCGGCAGCTCCACCGTGTGAAGCGGTCGGAGCAACAAACATTGCAAAATTCCTCTGGAAAGGCCTGACAGCTTGAGATGTGCAGCAGTGTGTTACAAGGACACGCATGGCTGAACAAATGAAAAAGGGTAATTCAGACCTCAAATACAGACCATGTTGATTAAATAACGAAGGACACTGCTTACAGCAGGAGACTAGGAATTAAGAGTCCCGAGCCCTACTCTCACACTGCTGCTGACTGCCTGTGTAACTGTAAACCAGGCACTTATAACTGAACTTTCTCAGTAAAACAGGATTAATAATATCCTCACATCCCTGTAAAGCTCCATGAAACCTCTGGATGCTGTGTGCTCTAAATGCAAGTATCACAGAAGTATTTATTAAAGGAACATGAGAAGGCTATTCACTACCGAAGTATGAGCTCCTTTGCTAGCTCTACATACTCATTAATCAAATGCATTTTATGCAAAATACTGGTGTCAGAGTTCAAGAAAGTTCTAAAGCAGACAGATTGGAGGTGGTTGCAAGAACTGTGATGAAATCAGGCAGCTGATTCAACTGCTTCTTCAAATGTTTGCAGTTTTTGTACAAAAAAGTCTAGTAAAACAACTGTCAGCAAAGAAAACTCCTGTGCTGAGAGAAATGTGTCAAGTCTGAGTGCAGAGTGAAGGAAGAGAGAAATTCCACAGTCAATTTGATAAGATTTTCTAGCCTTTAATTAGCCAGTTAAATGACTTACAGGAATATAAAGTAATGTAAAGCTTGTATGTAAATGGTACCTGTCCTGGACTGAGTGTAACGACATGGGCTGTTGAGTTCCTAAACTTGGGAAAGTGTTTCAGATCAGGGTTGGCAACGTTGACTTTGCTGAATACGCTGGATTCCTCATAAGGGATCCTGGTAGGATAAAGGAAACTGGTGTCACCAGGTGGGAAGAGGTGCCATCTCTTCCTGAAAATAGAGAGAAGACAAAAATGTATTCAGTGCATGTCACTTACAGCAAAGAACTAAAGGCAGTAGCAAGGTTTTCAATAAAACATAAATCTGTCTTCGCTGTGTGAATCTCCTACGCAGTGAGAACACAGGCAGTGCTTACAGGCTGTCTCCTGAAAGTGTTTTTAAAATATTCCACTTTTTAATTTTTTAGCTGAAAAGATTTACAGCTTCTCACCAATTATTTCTAAAAGGCAGATAACATAAAATTTTAAAAAAAGCTCTCCCATCTGGTTTCTCTGTCCTCCCTTTTACATGCAGCATTTACAGATGCTCAGAGAATTAAAATCTGCTCTATAAACTAGTGGAAATAGTTTTGTTAGAGACAATGTATTTTTGTTCAGTGAATGAATGGCTTTCAAAATCCACGTTTGTTTTGAAAGGAGGGCATTGTGCATTTAGGATGGCAACAGTAAAAGGGTACAGACATGATCTTCTGTTTCCTATCATCACCTGGAGTACTTATGACGCTGTTAGTCATAAACCCTTCATTCTCAGTAAAAATCACCTTAATGCTCCCATGCCAAAGATGGCATAAATAAAACCCAGACACACCCATAGACATAAGCATCCTGAAACATCTGTATTTTTGTGTTATTAGTACCATATGATGAAAATGTGGCTTGTGTGGGCCACTGGGTTTAAGAACTTACTGATGTGACTAAATGCCCAGATGGAGCACAACAGGGTTGTTCTGTTCCTTGTCTGGGGACACTCATGTGCCAGGTTGCTCTCTATGTGCCCAAAGAAGCACGTGAATGCACCACAGTGCAGGACCAAGCAGAGCTGAGGCACAAACCTTGTTCTCAAGGGTTAATGTCTCTATTTCACTTACATAGGCCAGATCAAAGGGAAAAAAAAAAGAATATGCCAGAACTGGTGGTGCCAGTTTTATGGGTACTATAAATGAAATATCTTAGTGGGTACATATGTTATTTAGAAACAGAAGTTTTATATGGTGGTACTTTAGGTGATAGAAAAAACCAGAAGGAATACACAAAGAGAGAATTTATTACATTTAAGAGGTGCCAGACAAACATGACCCATACACCAAGCAATGGAAAGGTAAAGGCAGCACTTTATAGCCCAGCTGGACAACTTGTGCAGCTCTCCTCTTTGTTTTGGACTCTAGCGAGAGCTTTTCTTTTTGTTCCTTTTCCTTGGTATTCACTTCTTGCTTTTTGTCTACTGCTTCTGGTTGTCAGTTCTAAGTCACGGATCTGAAAATAGGAGAAAAGCAACTAAGTGGTACAAAACCAGAAGAGACAGGAACAGAAGAGATAGGAGTAGCAGGATAGCCAGAACTGGAGAGACCAGCACAGATGGAAGTGCCATAGGCCGCCGACATTTCTTGGTAATTACCAAAGCTATTGCTGGGCACAAGCACAAAACCAGTTCTTCTAAAACTCAAGCCTTGCTGCAACTTTATTTTGCCCTCCAAGCTAAATTCTCTGAAGGGGTGGAGAATGACTAGGTTAGGAGGCTCAGGGTTAATCCTGCAGGCTCATGACAAAGCAATATCATGAAGCAAAATATTAAGAAGCCCGAGGGATGCAAGGAGGAAATTCAAGATAGCAACAAAGGGCTAAGGAGTCATCCCTGGCTTTCCTGCAAAGGCAAATCTATTTAAGTTTAGCATAAGCTTATATTCTTTTACAAAGCTTGTCTTGTTTGCGAGTCTCAAAAGGGAATCTTTCTGCTCTGAAGAAGAGCACACGATTCACAAGCTTGTGGAAGTTTGCAATCTATTTAAAAGCTTTGCTCTTGAAGAAGAAAACAACTTTGTCTTTTCAGGCCGTGCAAAGGCTTTAGACTTCTTTCCCTGAGAGGAACAAGGATTTTGTTCTACTAGAGGGGGAGGAAGTGTCTTGGGAAGGCAGACAAAACTGCTACGTGATGCTGGGACGCTGGCTGGAGTTCAACACCTAAAGGTAGAGATCAAAGAGGTTTGGCAGGTATCACGTCTGCTAGATCACTGTACTTATTTAGCACACCCAGTATTTAGGGGGATCCTTAGAAGATATTTAGGCATTTAAATCTCATGGTTCGCAGTGAGACTTCTGGCTCCTGAATACACTTAAGTGTCTGGACTTCAATGCACAAGGCTTACTGATGTGATCTGAAGTGTACAAGGACTGGCTGCAGCACTGTGCAAGGCTGAGGAAGGCTTCTGGAGTGTCTCTGCTGCACATCCACCCAAGGATTTCAGGGCCATTTAAAAATGTGAAGGAAAACCCACCTGGGAGCTAAACAGAGTTACCCTTCTTAGAGATAAGATGATGATGAATTCATTTCCCTGAAGCCTTAAAGCCAGTCAACCTGTGGCACTGCCCAGCTAGGAGCCAGCACACCTGAATTCCAATCCTGCACCTTCATCACACCACCACCACTGTGATTCTACTGTTCTATAAAATGTCAGAATAATTAATCTCATTGAAATCCCACTAGCAATTTACTCCTTCCACTCCATAGTATCAAACCTAAAAAATGTGTACAATGTTTTTGTTACCCTAGCACTACTCTAGCAATAATAGATAACAATAAAAAAAAAAAAAACCCTGAGGCCAACATGCAAGGAAAGGAAAAAAAAAAAAATGGGGAAAAAAAAAGACAGCAGGCAAACAGGCAGAAAGATACAGCAACAAAGTCACACGCTCCCACATGAGTTTGGACCCTCAAATGTCCCTTTCAACTTTGCTCACAGCTAGCTGCTTCCATCCTGATGTTCCCTTTTTAAATTAATTCTAGCAGGCTATTAGAGGCTCTTGCACAGAGAATATTGTAAAAGTCTAAAGGAGTTTATTTCTATTTTGTTTCGGGGTTTTTTATTTTTACCTTTTTATCTCCTAATTCCAAATTCCTGAATTCATAATTACTAGGAATGTTTATTATTGAATTACATAACACATAGATCAGAAAATAAAACTGTGATAGCTCTATGACCAAGCCAAACTCCAACCCCCTCAAGTTCTGCCATTTCCTGTAGAACAGTTATGATGCTCTTCAATCATTGAGAGCTCAGAAAACCAAAATAATCAGGACCTAGAATTAATACTCAAAGAGTCCAAAACTAGCTTTAAGCATAGTATAACTCTCCCCTATATTTGCTGTACGTATATGCACTTGTTACCTTCCTTCTACTTGCAACACTAAGTTGCAGCCATAGGAGTCCAAATGGCAGGGGGTGTTTGCTCCTTCAGAACCAATCCAAAGCGTGCTCTCTTTTCCACCTCTTCCAGGAAAACCAAAGTCAGACCACCTTATATCCTACAGCAACAAAAAGGTTATATATGTAAGCTGTTGAACTGATTCACGTCCTACCCTCAGTTCTCAGTCTCCCATCTTCTCCTTCCATTGCTCAGTCACTCCATATCCACTGCAGCTGTTGATCCTTGGTGGGGTTCTGGAGCATGCATGGCCTGTGCCCCTTCCTCCAAAATTATCCTCTCTAGCAGCATTTCTTCTGCTGACTTTCTTCTTCTGACTACACAACCTCCTAGATCTCTGTCTCCAGTTCTCACCCCTCCCTTTCACATCACTCAAGTTACCCCTTTGCTTTACAGAAGGACTGTCCAAATGCTCATGGCCACATTGGGCTTGTTGTCCTTTTCAAACACTCCTTTTTAACTTTCTCCACTCTTAACCATCCACTCAAGCTCAGGATTCCCTTTAGAAAAATTCTGATATATGGCATTTAAAAAAGAATGAAAGAAAGAAAGTAAAGAAAAATTCCTATTCCCTTTTCAAATCAATTTGATAATGCATGTGGCACATTTGCTCTATCTTTGCTCCTATCTCAGCTTTCTCCACGTACTCTGGGAACACACAGACTTTACCCCATCTCTGACCCAGTGTTATGCTGCTTTTTTAAAGTTTTCTTATTATTTAATGGACACATTTGCAACTGCAGAGACAGTGAACTTGAAACAACTTGACTACGTGGCGAGAAAGGGCAGAACAGGCATGCATATGTTACAAACACAGTCCTGGAGCCTTCCCATCTGTTGATCCTCCCACAACCAATCCCTTGGGGACGATGAGGCACAGCGACGTATTTTTCAGACAGTCCAAGAGTTTTGCAGAATGGTTCTGGACAGCTTGGATAAAGCTTTCCCATGTTTCTACAGCTCACCCTGCCACCTGCAGGGCCTGATCATTTGTTTATTGGAAAGCACTTGAAGTATACTGGCCAGAGATATTGGTGCCTTTTGGCTGGAGCCCCAGACTGAGCCACAGGAAACAGAAATTAAACTACTGGCTTCCTGATGGTCTTGGGCAAATCACTTCATCTCTGAGCTTTATTTTTCCTTTCTTGAAAAGGAAGATAATGGTATTTGTTCCATTTCAGTAGAGCACTTTGGGGTCATTCACATCACCTGACTTTAGTAACCTAACTTAAGCTTGGCTCCTGCTGTAGTCAAAGCACTCTCAATCACACCTTGGAAAAGCCTCTCCCTTTTTGCCATCTATAAAGAGAAAATAGGAGTCTGGCCTCCTAATTTAAGCATGTAAGCTAGCTGCTCGCAGACAGTGGATGACTGTCCTTTTTCAAGATCTAGGGATGAGGCAAACTAAAGCTAGACATTATGAGGATAACTTCACCATGACTCTGTATCAGGAAACCCTCAAAATGAGCAATAGCCTTCCCAAAAATTAGGTTTTGCTAAAGATTTTGAATTTCAGAGTTATTGATTTTAAAGATATCATTTGAAAAAAAATGCAGAAGCATAATATAAACATTTGTCAAAGACAGTAAAAGATCAAAAAGAAAAAGTTGATCCTATAGATTTCAGCAGCCATAAAATTTAAAATCCAATACAACTATTTCAGTGAAAAAGTTAAGCGTTACACCATCTCTACACTTTAATCTCACACCTAAATAGTTTTTGTATTTTGTTACAATTTAAGTGGGAAGAAAGCACACATAATCAATATTAGATTTAAAAGAACTTTTTCAAAATGTTGCTGCTGTAGTAAATAGTTGAAGCGATTATGGGTAAAATAGTTTTTAACCAATGAACTGAAAAGGAACTGGTAGTATTACTGAAATCTTGTCACAGTGGGTTCCTTTCCTACAATAAAAAACGACAGTAAGAAGAAATGTACTAAAAGGTGTTCCAACCATAACAGATGGCACATTACTTGTGAATTATATTTATTTCATTTGCTGCTTATAATGAAGTTAATCTGTACCCGTATGTCACTTTAAAAGGTCTCATTTCTATTTAAACTTCATGCATGTATCTTGCTTCTGATTTATATCTCAAATTCTGTAATGAAATATCAACTGAACAAAAAACGTAAGATGCTAGATATTGCTCATAGATTAGAATAATGGAATCATTACCTTAGCCCACACAACTGTAAATGATAAACAGTGCAATCTAAATTTCAAACAACTTCTAAATGGCCCTATTAATCACTATAAATAACAGTGCAGTTGGCCTTCTTTTCCCCTTCAAATCACCTTACGTAAATCTAAATAAAATCTAGAAAGAAAAAAAGCAGTTATCATCAAATTCACACAAGAATGGAAGAGAATTTCTACAAAGAACTCTTTTGGCTGGTATAAATTGTGTAGCAGTGTTTCAAAAGCCATATGAGTCTGGAACTGATGGATGCATTTCACTCCCATGCCTGTGAAAATGACAGATGACACACACCATATTTGCTTGCATAACACCGTTGATTTTTTCCTTCTCAGATTCTGCTTTTAAAAAAATCCACGGCATAACCATTATGTGTATCTATTCTAAAACTGCAGTACAATCTGTTGCTTGTCATAGGTCAGGGGATCAGGTTGTGGTATGACACCTGCGCAGAAATGCAATTCCTGGAGCCTTAACTTTATTCTTGAATGGGGGCAAGGGGAAGAAGGAGGTTAGGAAAGTTATTGTTTTCTTCAAGTGTGTTTTTAATGACCAAATGAAGCAGCAGGCTGTTGAGGCCTTCTGAGCTGCTATTATCTTTTGCCCTAAAACATAGGAAAATGCTGTCTGTCGAGGCAGTTTAAAAAGAGAAGATCAAGACAAGACCACAGAAAGAGGAAGTCGTGCGAAGATCTGGGGAAGCCTGAAACATCCCTGGAGCTCTCGACTTAGTTCAAGAAACATGAACCAGTATCAGTCATGCAGCCCAAGTTTATGTGATCCTGATTGTGTTTCAGTGTGCTTAGGAAGGGCAGGAAGAAAGAAAGGTAAGATGATCTCTGTGTTCAAACCACAGAACAAGGAGACAGTCTGAAAAAAGGCTGATTACTGATAAATACCAATTTTACTGGTATAAAAGAATAAAATACATATAAGGAGTATGGGAAATGCTTTCTGACAAAATAATTAATTTGAAGGTGCTTAACAGTTTGTACTCTCTGACATCCCAGTGATACAGTTTTTGCAGGGAATTATGGATTCCATTTCCATCTTTCAAAGTATAGAAACGAATAAGGCTTCATTTACTACTCTCTTCTTATATCTTTTGAAAATGTACACCTTTTGTATAGCTATCCTTAATTTTGCCTGCTTACAATTTGCAAGGAGAAGTAGCAGGAATGTAGATGAACCAATACATAGAAATAGCAGATAGACACAGAGAAAATAAAAGAAAATACCCCAGGTAGGTGTCCTGCATTCGGTAATTACCATAGATTACGTATTTCCATGTATTTTACTGTCTTCACAGAAAATAGAGGTATAATAATGCTGCAGACTCAGACTCCTCCTCACAAACAGTTAATCTAAATACATTAAGGAAAGGAACTGTGCTACTTGAGAAAATGAGCCACAAGCCAAAACATGGAGCAAAACCATGTTACAGCCCTGTTGCTACAAGCAAACACATGCCATCAAATCCTCTCTCCTGAGTGAAGCTGTTAATTAGGGCACCATGCAGGTACCAGGTGGATCTGGGGCAGCAGCAGGGTCTTAAGTTTGCAATATGCCAGGCCTGCCAGCTGCCTTTCCTCTCTACTCCCTATTACTACTTCATGTTCATACCTTCAGCAGAGGTGCAGAGGTGGTGTTCATTTGCCGAGGTCACACACACGACTGGGTGCTCCCCAAGCCTGCTCAGTCACAAAATGGTGCTGGGCTAAATGGGAAGGAGAGTACTGCCAATCTGGTAGCTGGTTTTGTCACTCGGGGTGTTGCTTTTAAACTTATAAGGAGATACAGAATTGTAGATGGCTGCCACTTGGTACTAGTTCTCCACTAGCCTGACAGCCAAAAGCTTTTATTTCAAAATTTTAAAATAAATGGCCAAAGGAGCAGAGTGGGGATAGCAGTAGAGGTTTCAGAAACTACACTAGACAATTTGCAATGGTTAAACTCAGAAGAGATAATATTAATGGTTTACCTGGAAGATTTCTGGCTTGTCTTCAAATATCCTGGCAATGTATTTGTAGTCAGCGTAAGCCCAGTATTTCGAGGAATCGTAACAACTGAATGGTCCAGAGAGACAAGAAGGCTGCCCACAGCTCCAAGCCAAAAACTCTTCAAGTGTAGCCTCCACGTAGCTACACCTGGTTTCAAACTGGGGAACTAGAGCAACAAAAGGAAAGCCCAATATTACATGAGCATTGAGTACAGAAGCAGTAAAAATAATACATAGTTTGTCTCTCAGCTCTGGTTAAATGCAACATGAGAGATGAAGAAGGACTAGGTGGTTTGACTATGGTCAATAAAATGGTTCTCATCACCTAACTCAAAATGAAAGTCTGAGACTATTGCTTTTTCATTAAGGTTTAAGTGAATGACTGTTACCTTGAACTTGCTGTGAGACAAAAGCACACCAATAGTTACTCTTGTTCTTCAGCACAGTAACTCAATAATACGCCCAAGTTCCCTAAACAACTTCGCTTCATCTCCCTTCCTAAGTGGGAGCTGCAAATGTACATGTAACTATTTGTGTACTCTTTATTTTGTCTCCATGGATTTATGCAGATGGACATGTTCATCTCACCCTTTCCCTAAAGCAATAACCAAACCAGCATGGTAATGTATAGAAAGTAAATTATGGAACCACACACGTGCTGCCAATGATCCATCTAAAATGCTGTGTGCCCTTATTTTTCATTTGGGACTGACAAAAGCATATTGCAGTGTTCTTGGCAGACACAAAAAGTATTTACCAGCAGTGTTTTGCTCCCATCATGCTTTGGTCAGGCTGACTGATGCAGCCTTACAGCTCAAGGTCAGGTCACTTGGAAGTTCTACAAGATAACCCACATCACAGTATACTTTAATTGCACTTAATCAAAGATCCTCATTTCCCACAGCCACTAATCGTGCCAGCTTCAAAGAGACATCCAATGTTAAAAAAAATATTACTTTACTATAACTACTACTGAGGAAAAATTACTGCAGCCTGCATGAATAACAATGACAGAGCTGCAATTTAACCTTGTGTAACTTGCACAGAGCTGCACAGAAATGGGATCCTTTCACTATTGTGCAGCAGCAGCAGCTCTTCGTTCTTTACCAGTTTCATTTTGTTACCGCAGCAATTCCCATAGAGTATCATACATTTGTTCTTATTCCCTTTGGGCAGGAAAACAGCTTTTATAAACCTTTATCACCATTATTTTGCTATTTTCCATTGTAGTAGCCTAGGTAGTGGTTTCCTTCCCCACACTATCAAATCATTAACTAAAAGTGTCAGATAAGCCTCGCTATTCAGTAACCCATAACCTGGGTCTGTGCAGTAGAAAGGCTCCCTACCTAAGGGCTGCATACAAGTCATATAAATTACCTGCAATAACCAAAAACCTCTATATCTGATCCTGTGTCTGTGCTGCAGTCCCTCTCCTGATACCCAGTTATTAATGCAATGCACATCATTCTACTAAGAGATGGTCTGAGGGAAAAATTAGATAAAAGACACAAGCACTACTTGAAGGTGGTTCTATAGCTGTATTACTTTTATGAGAACAAAGAGCTCCTAGGACACTGCCTATTTTCCAAGATAACTCAGGAGCAAATGTTTTAAAGGCAAGAAACATGCTCTTTCTACCTCACAGTCTCTTTCACTCTGAGGTTCATAAAAAAAAAAAAATCCAACTATGAAATGCAAGACTGTCTTGTAGGATACAATCTCTTTGGGACAGGGTTCTTGCTTTGATTTATAACTTGTTCAGTATCAAGGTGTGCGTGCTCATGGAAAAATAAATAATAATAAAAAACATATTCAGGCAATCTAAAGATTGCTTAGATGAGCTTGTAGGCTGCAACAAGGGTGAAAATGTTAGCAATGAGCAACTAAAAGCAAGAACATTATTAACCAGTTTGCTAATACTTAATGACTAAAAGCTGAAGGTGTTTTGTAATTGACAAATTGCAGATTTAGCCATGCAAGTCTAAAGTAGGCTGCCAGTTCTGTCTGATGTCATGGTATCTGAAGGCATAACAATCCTCCTGTCTCCCACTTAATGCAACAGATTGAAACACAGGGAGAAAGAGAGGGAAAAAATGGTTTCTCAAGAAGAAGTTCCCCTCCTTAGTTAAGGTCTGGACCTGACAGACACCAACTCCTGTTTTTCTCAGGAAGAGTGTATGCAATGTATACTAAGGCAAATGTAAGGGGAAAAAAGCATAATAGCCTTAGAAAATACCTAAAACTCCAGTAAGAATGCAAGTGAAATATCTCCTCCATTTCTTTAAAGAAAACCAAACATCTATTCACAGGAGTGCTGGGGAATTACAATTATTTAAACAAATAATCCAAGCAAGAAATAGCCATTTCATACTATAACAAAGCACAGGCATACTCACAAACAAAAAAACTGGCCATCCACATCCAACTCCAATAACCACCTCAAATCTCAGCTTTATGCAACATTTAATCAGTGTGCAGCATTTGTACTGTATTTTCAGCCTCCTATTCAGCTACTGAATCTATAACCACCTTTACATCCCCCCTATATCAAACCTCAGGGGCCTGAATTCTTCTGCCATCCTTAGTGGTAAAACCTCTTGGGCAGATGATCAAGTTGCAGCCCTTTTCTAACCAGCTGCATATCTGACAGCATCAGCTCTATCCAGCATCAATAACAGAAATTTCCTCCAGAGATCTTGTGACTCATAAACTGATCAGTATGACAACTTCTTGTTCTCTCCAGCTTCTCCACAGTAAACTCATTGTTTATTCATTTTACTCTACAACCACAGAAAATGGTCAAAATAAGAAATGGCTACATACAGAAATCAGTTTTGTGTAAGCTTTCTTCTTACTTTGTACTTGCTGATTTGCTCCAGGTAGCCATCAGATAGATGGGCTATAATGCTGCATTTCCTCTGTCAGAAACTAGACTTCTGCAGCTTTTGCCCACCCTTTATCCCACATGAGAAAAATAAATCTTTTAGCGTGGCTGGAACTAGATGAATAGGGATTTCCTGATTAATAGCGCCTTCATTGTTGTTGTAATGAATGCTGGTACTCTCTCTGGAGGTATCTTATCTCTGTCAATGCTTAATGCTCTGATTGTATTTTTTTCCCCCTCTTATAGACCCATACTGTTTAACCTGTGTAATCAGACAGAATACTATCAAACACACAAACTTAGGTAGGTACAAATAATTCACACAAATAATACTGCTAGCTCCCATACCTTCCATGTTTCAAATGTGCCTTCCACATCCACGTGCCTTAGGAAATTAAAAACCTGCAAAAAAGGCAAATACAAAATCCACACAACTCCCAACCAGTTGCCCCATTTGCAATTCTCACTTTTTTATATTAAGGAATATTCAGTTTGGGAATCCCATCCAGGCTGCAGGTGTGGAACTAAGGAAAGATGAGAAATCGCTATAGTAAGAGGTTTCAAGTAATTTTGGTTCTTCCAGATGAACCTCATAGCTCAAATAACCTCAGAAACTGTGAAGGAACCATTCGAGTGACACCAAAATGTACCTACATGTAGGAGAATGGCTTTTTTTTTCCTGTTTCCAACACAGTGGCAGGAGTGGTCCCATCTAGTCTTAAGGCAATAAATCTATTGTAAACACGGAAGGAATATTCAGAAAGAGATCAATATGATTTTATTTGTATTTTTCTGTTGTTCTCCCTAACCACATGACTGCTACTGTTTCATCTAGGAAAGTTAGTTTGAAGAATGATAAGAAAGAGAGGCCCTCATTAAAAAATAGTGTTAAGCATTCAAGAGTGAGATCAACCACCTTCCAAATGACAGTGGCACATGAAATGTATTACATTATTTCAGACTTTGAGATGGCTTGGATAATGGCTTCACTAATATATCCTTACAATGCAAATTTTTTATAGCATCACAGGTCTCATTCAGCTACAATATAACCCCCGAAGGCTGTACCCATCTTCTTGAAGACAATTCTAGCTCACATTAGCATATAATGGAGATTCCTGGAGACAAATTCATTGCTGCATGGGGATTGATGCCTTTAGGAAAAAGAAAAATGCAGACAGATACTTCAAGATATAAAAGCCAATTTCAATCCACACTATATCCCTAGTGACTACAAGTTATTGTTAAGTGATGCCTCTTATTTACTTAGTATCAACCCCTGACTTAGCCACATAACACTCTATCAATCCCATCAGAAACTTTCCCAGCTGGCATACCCATTTGGCTCTCAAAGAGTGCCTACTAATTAATGGAGAGTAGGACCAAAATTATGCTTTTACCTGGTAGGCCTTGTGTGTTACAACTGAGATATTAACAAGGTATCAAAGAAAATGTCATATATGTATATATGTGACACCTTCCCTATCAGCAATGGGATGCCTTCCACGTGTAGTGCAAGAACTGGTTGGTACCTCACTGAACCACAGAGATATTGCCATGAAGATGTGTACCAACGTATTAATTCTACACCTCAGTTATCCCAACTGTAGAAAGCGAATAAATAACATCTGTTTTCCTAGGAATGGCACAGGAATCATCAATCCATGCCCATAAAATGATTTGAAATCCTAACATGCCAGGCATTTTCCCTCTAACACTTCTGTTTCACCACCCACTTCTCTTGCAAAAATTGAACATGCAATAACATGGTCATGATGCTGTGAAGAAAGCAAATTTCACACAGTGTTGTTAAGCAAGATAATGTGATGTAATCCTATTACTTTCACTGGAACTGCCAGACCCTCATCTGGAGTCTTTGTGCAGACTCTACATTCCAAAAAAGAGGTAGTCCAACTGAAGAAGGTTAGAAGACTATATAAAGAATAGCTAGGTGAGGTCTAAAACAACATGACTTACATAGAACATTTTTTAAAAACTGGATTTTTCTGGCCTAGGGAGAAAAAAAATTCTAAAGGGAGCCAGAATGCTTTATAGGCCAAAGGGAGAAAGTGCATGGCAAAATGTATTTTGGCATGCAGTTGGGAGGGCAAAGAATGTACAGGACACAAATAAAGCAATGCAAAACCTTTCAAGTGGCTAGCAGATTGTCACCTTGGAACACATTTCTAGTATCTTCCCTCCCTGGTTTGAAACTCTGTCTGTCCATGGACACATTATGACACACTATTGTAGGGCTACAGACAGAAAAAGTTGTAGTATTTAAAATCAAGTGCAAAAATTGTCTTTCTCTCATGGCATGTTCCTAGATGTCTAGTGAATCTGGAGGGTTAGTGGTGAAGTTACTGTACTGGAGTCAAATGATTTTCTTAACACCTTATACCTCTGCAGCATCTTTCATCACAGGACACTAAAGTACTGAAAATCACCACAGTCTTATAAAGCCTCAGGAGGAAGGTGCAAATTATCATCATTTTACAGATAAAAATCCCAAGGTAGACCAGCTATTTGGCTAATTCTTTAACACAGTTATGTTTGTGGATATGAAAGCTCAGCTCATGTGAACAATCTAATCATGGGTAAGACTGGACCAAAAGTACCACACTACAAAGGAAAACTGAGATGCTTGATTCTTATGTGTTAATGTTACCCACCAGACTTCCTACTAAGAATAAACACATGAGAAAGAGAAAGGAGAGTTTCACTGCTGGCCGAATTCCATGTCCTAAAAACAGCCTGCAGTGAAAAGCAACACACTAGAGAGTGAACAGTGGCAATGGAAAGGCAAACAATTGCATAACCTAAAAAAGAGAGTTGTGACATTAAGGCCTGTCCACCTCATTCTCACCTAAATCCACCGTCTTCAGTCCTAGCCTAAACTGGATTGTCTTTCCATCCAACATTGCAGAAAGGTATTTCACATTCCAGTGCAGGGCTGGCCAGTCAGCAACCATGTTACAGAAGACTGCAGGTTGCTGTAGAGACATCACAATTTCCTGGGCTTTCTCAGGAGTAAATGGTTTGACACCTTCACCTATGGAAAGAAAAAAAAAACAGCTGCAGAGATGTATGATTTATGACACATGAAGTGTTACCCACCATCTCCCACAGCGCAGGAAACATTAAGAACTAACACCTCCTTTGTTTATGATTGATTTATTACATTCGTAGATTTTTTTTAAGTCAACTTTATACTGCAAACATTGAAAGAACATTCTTACACTAAAGCTTAAAAGCAGTGTATTAGCACACGGAATGTGAAGCAAAAAATAAAAATAGGCACATGCTTAAAATTTTCACTTGTACCTTAGGCAATAAAGCACCACTGTAGCCAAACTGTTTAGAATTAGGCTAACAATAAAATAACCTTGCAAATAACGTCCAGAGTTTAGAGAACATAAATTTTATGAGTTATTCTTTCTGCATGGGATTCTTTCCAAAGTGTAGTGCATTTTCAGAGATAGCAAACCAGCTTCCTGTGCATTTGATTTAAACGGAGGAAGAGTAGCATAACCAAACCAGCAGGTATTTTTCAAGTGTTTTAAAATTTCATTGACAGAAAACTTACAAAAAGGAAATTGTGCCGATCCAAGAACTAAACTAACCCAAGATTTCCATTTAGTCCTTTGCTGTTAGAGATTTATATGCCCCACTGAAACTGTCAAGCCAAAATGCTGGCAACCTTGAATAAACTCAGCACTTCCAGAACAACTTTTCTTTAGGGACATATTGAGAAGGAAAATCTGTTTATTTTAAATGGAATAACATAACAGTTCCATAGAGATGAGGAGGTGGACTACAGCTTCAGATCATAAAAAAACCCATTCATTATTTTAACCTCTATTGAAGTTAACTCATCCAGAATCTGTATCTGTAAAATGCCTAAGATTTAACACACTGAGTTGATACGTATGGCTCCCTATGACTTCTAGCAGCTTACTTCAAATAAACAAACCAATTCAATCCAATCACTCCATTTAGGGGTCAAATTACGGTCTGGCACGCACAATTAGTTAAATAAATACAGAACAAGAAAATTTCCTTTACTGTTGGGTGCTAATTTTGCCTGTTGTTCCTCCCCATGTGTGGGACAGGTAACGGAGAACCAGCCAGTCCTACACAGGGCAGCCCCGTGGTGCCAGCTGGGGGAAACACAAAAGAAAACCCACTGAGAACGAGGTCACTGAGGACGGTTCTACAGCATTAATTCAAATATAAGTTTAAAATAAATCTATGCATGCTGAAGTGTGAATGGCAGGAATAAGAGGAGCCCTGTGCATGCTGTGTGCTGTATCTCTTTGGTTACTTTTGCAAGTCCCACTTCTTTCGATAGGGTTTATACTCTTGCATAGCTGTGCTTTTTAGTTTTCTAAATTAAGCTATCTTCACACAAATTCAGTGGGAGGTATCAGGGCTGGAGTTTCCTATAGTCAAGGGGTCTCTTCTCCCACAGACTTTCAGGGAAACTGAATCCCTCTCTTTTCACTCATGAAAGGTCCTTCATGAAGCTTTAAAACTGAAGACCTCTGATATTTTATGTTCACGGAACATGAAATTTTTTAATGGTTTCTCTTTCTTAAGGGTGATGACAGGAGGTAGTTTGGATTTTGGTTTGTTTTCCACAGTTCCTCTCATACGCAGAGCAACACTTGACAGGATGGTGTTGCTGTGACACAGAGATGTCTCTGACACTTGGCCTTCAGTCTCGCGCTCCAGCAACTTGCACAACCAGGACATAAGGAGGCCTCACGGGGACCGTATGTCTCACCATATGGTCTTCCCTGCCCCCGGGAGGGGGCTCTGGGGCTTTCCAAGGAATAGGTTAATATACCTGAGGGAGCAAGTCCAGAGAAGGCAGAGAGACCATCTGCAGACACAAGGGCACGTGCTGGTGCAGCTACCAGGAGCTGGTAGGAGGCACGGTAAGAGGTTAAAGCTCAGCATGTTTCTTTACAGTGATTCTGCTCAAGATCTAAGGCAAGACTCAGTCCAGATCTGAACACTCCTAGAGGATTTATAAAACTTCTGTCTTTCACCAGTGCAATTATAATATTGTACAGAGGTGGCTTTCACCATGTGGGAGCTGGCTGGCCTTGCCTACCTTTCAGATTTCCCAACTCATAAAAATGAAATTATTCCTGCTTAGGTCATGTTTATCACTGCACAGCTGTCTTTCTGACGACTCAATTTTTTTTGCTTTAAGGGTAGTACATTTAATTATTTTAGAGAATGTAAATCCAAATAAATGCAAGAAACTGGTGACACTTTTTTGGAGGATACTGTAAAGCTGACTTATTACAAAAGCTTCAGGTTTATCCTGTAATTTCACTCAACAAGTGGGTTGTGCCACAAAAGCTGAAATTTTACTGGAATAGACAGAAAGGCTCTTTGAAGCCAACTGTTGATTCCATGTGGCTTTCTAATTGGATTTCCACATGCGTATTGTGCTTTTGCAAGGTGTGGTTTTAACCACAGTGCATACACAGTGGGAAGCTCAGAGCTCCAGCTACTGGGAGTTCAATGCCAAACAACAAAAAAATTAGGCTAAATAGCCTCTCCTCTACTGAATGTTTGTCATGTCACCACCCTTTCTTCAGTTGTAAACCTATTTCCCTATAAAATTTAGAAAGAATGAAAGAGGACAGTCTGTCTTAGTAAGATGCTAATCATTCCTATCTTCAAACAGTACTAAAATTGTTGCTAAATAAGTATCTTCTCCTGATATCACATACAATACATATCATATAACCCACCGTGAAGTTTGAAATGTTTTACAAAATTTAAAGACTTAAATAAATGTACATTACGGGTTTTTGCAAAGACAAATGGGGATTCTTGCTAAATCTGTGTGAAGAATCTGTAAGCGTCTTGATTCAGTTTTATGTATTCCTTGGTGAGAACAGTTAGTTAAACATAATTCTTTCCCTATAATATTTGTCATGCATATCTAAGTGCCTGCTAGAGAAAAGAGACATGATAAAAGGTAAATATCATATACCAAATCAAATAGGCATTACGATAATTTGAAGAACTCTGCTTATGACCAACAGAGATTTCTGATGGAACTATATGCTGTAGGAGTAAGTTGAGAAGTAATTAAAAGATGTATCTGAATACAGAAGACCTTGAAGAGATATTAGCAGAATTATAACTTAAAATGATCTTTTCCTTAGTTATTGTTATTATAGCTTCACAAAGACCTTAAAAGCTGGGCTCTTGCTTCTCAGTATTTCCTAGCCTGAGATGGATGGTAACTGATTCCTAAGCAAAACTTGAGGTTGTATAGCTTATACATAAGTGCATACAGTTTGGACACAGATGCGTACAAGTAAAAATGTGTATAAATAAAATGTGTTGCAAAGAAGCAAAACATCCATTGCACACCTTGGGCTTTAAATATGAAATTCCTAGGGGAGATTGGGTAGCCAGAAAGAACTGAAATGCATATTCCCTTTCAAAAGAAAAGCTCTGTGGGAGTCTTCATTTTCTCAGTTGTAGTCTGATCCACAAAAGAAAAGGAATACTTTAAATTAGTTCTTTCTATCAGGCTCCACAAATGGTGTGGCTTCACAGCACAAAAGGAAGCAGGAATAATTTGTCTCATGTTTTGACTTTATACAAGGCATGTACAGAATCCAACCAGGAACTGAAAAAATGAACCAAGTTTTAGCTCAGGTTTTGTAACTGTGACAGCTTATATAATTGGCCAAAAACATAGGTGTTCTTTAGAAAGGGAACACACTGCAAAATACGGATCTACCAATTAAAAAAACAAAGCTCTCCAGTCATCTTTACATGAAGTACTGTCAAACATGAAGACTCATCGAGACTTAGCATTGAGGGCAGGTAAAAGAACAGTGATGAATTGGTCAAGTACTCTCCAGTAGACTTTGTGCTCCTAAGAGAAAAAATAATTTAATGTTTCTAAATAACAGTTTTTCTGAATAACTGAATGGGGTTTGGGAATAAAGAATTTAGCACAGCAGGCAGTCTGTCTAAAAGTGGACTTGATCAAAGTTGTTCAGAAGTTAAATGCACTGTCATTAAAAAGCTAAATGTACTGTCATTCTGTTAAAATAATTTAGCAAATTAGAAGAGTTTATTAGTGCATGGCAGTTGGCTTCTGCCAAAACACCCTGCTGCTTAAATATGAGATTTGAGAGGTATTAAAATAATTTTCTAAAAGAGGGAGTACAAGGAAATCCTGGTAAATGTATTTGGTACAAGCATCACTAACTTGTTTTTCTTGCAAATCTGTAATGCTTCCTTATCCTCTCTTCTTAAAAAAAAAAATTAAAAAAATTTAAAAATTGGCATTTTGAATACATTAATACAAAGTAGCCAGGTAACTCAAGAAATGACTTGGTTTGGAGGTCAGACTTAATGGTTTCACACTACATTGCCTCTGCACGTTAAAAAACAACTTTAAATAATCTGCATGTAATTACAACACTATGCACTATAATCAGCCTACTCTGGGCAAACAGGAATGTCTCTAAATACACACGTGTAGTTTTCAGGATAGGCTGCACAAACATCTAGGTATTACTTCCTGACCAGTTACTGCTGCTACTATTAGTTTTGGCTCTGGGAATGTTAATACTGCAAACACACACAGCCAGCAGGTAGCTAACCTAGATTTGCATAAATATTTTGGTTACTGAAGGAGAGGCAGAAGTTCATGGAGACTCTCAGGACAGACCAGTCTGCACTTGTAAAACTGGCACCTGAAGCTTAGTCTGGTAGCCTGCAGTCAACACACCCTTCCTTCCTCTCCTCACTGTGGAAGGAGGGCATCAAAAGAAAAGAAAGAGGCCAAACCAGGAATTTGGACTCACATTCCAGTCCTCCTGTGGCAGGGTTGAGCATCTTACAGTTTTTCTTACAGTAAGTCTAAGTGATTCAAGATATGAAGTAAGATAAGAGTGTGGGCTATGCCCTCAAACCTCAAACTGTCCTTCCGATAAAGCAAAGGAAATTGCTGCCAGACTCCTTAGGGTAGAGTAAGGGGTTGAGTCCAGAATACACCACTGG